AGACCTGGAGGAAGCTCCTGGCTTTGGATAGGCGCAGCTCCGGCCACTGTGGCCATTTGGGAGTGAAGCTGTCCACAAAATATTGGTCACATTGGCCTTCAGTTAGTTACTTAGTTTTGCTCCATTCCCAATATTTTGTGGACAGCTTCCATGCCAGTGTATTTAATTTAACTCATTCTTCTTAATGGTTACAAGGCAACTGCTTGCTCCTTGCTGGCAGCTGATGTTTATTATTGAATACACCTGTGTAACAAGTGTCAGACATAATTGTAATTTTATTCTCACAAAAACCATATGAGGTAGGTACTTTTCTCCTATAGTTTTTTAAAAAGATTTATTTTATTTTTATTTTAAAGGCAGAGTTACAGAGAGGCAGAGACAGAGAGAAAGAGAGAAGTCTTTCATCTACTGGTTCATTCCCCAAGTAGCTGGGCAGATCTGACGCAAAGAGCCAGGGCCCCAAGGACTTGGGCCATCTTCCACTGCCTTCCCAGGACATAGCAGAGTTGGATTGGAAGTAGAGAAGCCGGGACTTGAACCAGCACCCATTTGGATGCCAACAATGCAAGTGGTGGTTTTACCCACTACGCCACAGCACTGGCCCCTTTCCCATAGTTTTTTTTTTTTTTTTTTTTTTTAACTTTACTTATTTTATTTAAAAGGCAGAGTTACAGAGAGGCAGAGGGAGAGAGAAAGTTCTCTCCGGCTGAACAGCTGGGTCTATGCCAATCCAAAGCCAGGAAGCTGGAGCTTCCTCCAGGTCTCTTATCTGCCTTCCCAGGCACATTAGAAGGGAGCTGGATCAGAAGTGGAGCAGCTGGGACTTGAACCAGCACCCATATAGTTTTTAATATGAGGAAATGGAGGCTGTTTAATCACAATTCACTTAATCAGTCATATTAAGGTGCATTTAATTGAACATGAGTTTGTGCGTATATATATATGTATTTCAAAAGTTTATGGAAAATGAAATTAAAAGATTATGTTGGTGCAAAAATGTTGAAATCTATGCATATTTTTTCATCATATGTACTTCTATAACTTTTTGAGGATCCCTTCTATCTATATACACACATATTGGTAAGATAAAGCCCTAGATTCATTCATCCTGCATCTATTTTTGAGAACCTGCTTTGTGCTAGGTACCAGGAGTATGGTGCTGGAGACAGAGATGGATCTTGCCCGAATGGCAGAACATGCTTGTACAAGACAGACTATGAACAGGTGAATAGAAATCAGGCAGTGACACACTAAGAACAATGAAGCAGGGGAGTGCTAGGGGTGTTATTTTGGGGTCAGGGACTGTCAGGAAAGGCTTCTCTGATGAGAGACCTAAATGAACCAAATGGAGAGAGTGTTCTAGAACAGCAAGTTAAAGATATACATGTGTCTGGCAGAGAAAGACTCAATGAGGAGCCCAAGGTTTGGGGACTTAAATGTGAGTGGTACAATCATTTACTAAGATAGGGTGAGGGAGGGGCCATTAAGAAGGTAGGGGAAGGGAAAGGGCATCCTGCTGAGGCCTGAGCTTTGCTGTGATCATTGTACAGTCCTGGAGTCAGGGTTCAGAAACGATTCTGGGACCCAGTTGGGCCGTGGTCAGGCTATGGAAATTGTGGGAAGCCAGGAGACTGATGAGTGCATGAGAGTGAGGGAGGCACGGACTAGAGTTTCTGAGTCAAGGGAATAAACAAGATATTTTTATTTATTTGAAAAGCCAGAATTATAGAGAGGGAAAATTGGGGTGGGAGAAAGATCTTCCATCTGCTGATTCACTACCCAAATAGCCTCAATTGACCAGGGCTGGGCCAGGCTGAAGCCAGGAGCCAAGAACTCCATCTGGGTCTCCCACGTAGGTGGCAGGGGTCCAAGCACTTGGGCCACCCTCTGCTTCCTTTCCAGGTGCATTAGCGGGGAACTGGATCGGAAGCAGAGCAGTCAGGACTTGAACTGGCATTCAGATATGTGATGCCAGCATTGCAGGCAGTGGTTTAAGTGCCTGTTCCACAACGCTGGCCCTGCAAACATGCTCCTAAATGTCAAAGCGTTCTAGAGTAACTTCTGCCAACTTGAATTTACCAGTGCCCTAAGATATGGCTGGAATCCCAAACCCAGGGGTAAAAAATAACTTTGTGTGTCTGAATTCGTAGTTCTCTGTTACAAATGCTGTGGAACTTATTCCCAGAGTTTAGGGGGTCCTTTGTTCCTGTGAATTGCCTCTTCTGTTGATTTATAGCATTCTTTGTGTGTTTAATTTATTTAAGGTATACAAATTTCATAAATACAGAGTTAGGAACATAGTGAATGCTCCCACCCTTCTTCCTCCTTCCTCTTTTATTGATTTATAGCATTCTTTGATATACAAATTCTATTGATGATAGTTCTTAGTGTATTTCTGTTTAAGAACATTAGTTCTGTGTCACATGTGTTACATTTTTCCTTTTGATTTTAAAGTACTTTTTGCAGTTCAGAAGATTAAAATGTCTATAAAATCAAGTTTATAATTTCTTCTGTAGCTTCTGAAGCATCTTTAATAATGGGAGAACTCCTTTGTAGTGGAAGATGACACTGGGACTCTCTGAGGTTTGCTTAGAATTCTGTTCTCAGATTTTTCATGGCAGAGCTGCTTGGGAAACAAATCCAGGGAAGTAGCTTCTTTCCTGGCTCATTTGGCACAAGTGAGCAGCTAGGGAGCAGGGGGAGGTTAAATAGCAGCTGCCAGGCTTTCCTGTGCTCACACAGTAGGTGTGACCCAGCCTCACTGAAGGAATGCTCTGCTGGCCTCGGTCTTTACGGGGCTTACTCTTACTGCATCGCCAGCTACTTTGCTGACTTGATCGCTGGCGCAGTCCTACCTTTTCTGCAGTTGAAGAGAGGCCCTGGATGAGGCTGGGGTGGCTTGGTCAGCCTGGCCAGAGCCCGACCACAGCTCCGGGGTGATGCTGCTGAGGCTGTTCCTTGCGTCATTAGCAGTTGGGGACTGGAGAGTTTCAAACAAACAATGACAGTCTCCACTCAAGAGCTGGCTTTAAGAAAGGATTTGTTACTTTAAACAAACCATATTGCAGGCAAAATGTATTTCATCCTGCTGGCTGGGAGCTAGCTGCAGGGCTGCGATTCCCACTGTGGCTTCCAGTGTTTTTCTTGTCCCTTTCTGCCATCTACCGGTCACAGCACAAAATACCCTGGAATGCCAGCCAATGGTGCCTGTGCTTGTATCTTTTCAGTCTGAAACATATTTTCCCAGATGGATTGTGCCATAAGATACCAAGATCTAAAATTTGTTTTCCTCGAAAGCATATTTTCAAGGGGACTTAATTATCTGAGAACGATCACTTTATTATTGTGTTCCTTTGTCTGAGAGGCAGTGTTTGAACTCTGACCACCTGAGTTTCAATCTTGGCTCTGTAATTAATTGTGTGACTGTGGGTGAGAAAAAAACTCCCACAGGGCCTTGCTTGTGACATGTAGACATCATGGCACTAGGTCTTGCTTGTTAGGGTTTGGGCTCAGCCGACACTGAGTTTTCCAGTGGAGAACGTGTAGTACCTTGTTCTGCACATACATGTTTTCTATTGCTGGAAATCTAGCTGAGGCATTTAGGCAGGCATTTCTTTAGGACACAGAAAATTCCGTAGATTAGTTATTTATAAGCCATACCCAGTGTATATGTTTAGATTCTGTTTCCAAGTGCTTCCTTTTGAACACTGGAGACTCAGTTCCAAAGCAGCGGCCTCTGCTTTGGAGCCTTCCTTGTTCCCTCCTGTTGGAATCATTCAAATCCCTCTGAGCTCCTACAGCAAAGTCTCTGGCCCTTTCTGGAACTGATGATTTTCCCTTTAAAATATAGACTTGTCTTGCCTTGTGTGTTACCTGCATCTGTGAGGATAAGAACCAGTCTGATTCGTCTCTGATATGTAGTAGTTAATATAGAATACAGAAAAGGTGTAGGAAAGAAACAGACATCTTGTGATTTTATTGTTGTTTTTAGCCATTATTTATGTTCCTGTGGAGTTGTGGTCTTTATATTTTTTTACTGGTTGAGTATTAGGGTTAGTGCTGCCATAGGCCTGTAATGACAGAGTGGAGTGGGTTTGTGTATTTGCAAAAGTTGAAGAAGAAGAGGAAGTAAAGGGAGGTGGGGGGTGCATTATGGTTGTTTTCTTGGAGTTGTATCTGTGGAATAAGGATAAAAATTTTAAAAAATTTTTAAAAAGACATGTCAAGAGTATACAAGAAGGAGGTGGCCATTGCCGCGGCTCACTTGGCTAATCCTCTGCCTGTGGTGCCGGGACCCCGGGTTCTAGTCCCGGTTGGGGCACCGGATTCTGTCCCGGTTGCTCCTCTTCCAGTCCAGCTCTCTGCTGTGGCCAGGGAGTGCAGTGGAGGATGGCCCAAGTGCTTGGGCCCTGCACCTGCATGGGAGACCAGGAGGAAGCACCTGGCTCCTGGCTTTGGAACAACACAGTGCGCCAGCCGTAGGGACCATTTGGAGGGTGAAACAACAGAAGGAAGACCTTTCTCTCTGTCTCTCTGTCTCTCTCACTGTCTAACTCTGCCTGTCAAAAAAAAAAAAAAAAAGAGTATACAAGAAGGAGAATAAGGGGAACAGTGGTGCATGTGCAATGGGATGACATTTTGCAAATTAACTTCTGTGGAGCTCAAAGGAAGTATCTGTGTCTCAGGTTAGTATTCCGACTTGCATAGCTCAAACAACTCCCATGGAACTGCATTTTCATAGCCTGGTGCCAGGTTCCTCATTTCTGCTGTCCCAGCCCTGATTGCCAGTCTCACTTGTGCCTGAATGATGAGTGCTTTGGGTCTAGATGTGAAAATACTTATTCCTCAATATGAGTTCACTTGTAATCAATGAGGAGGCCACAGAGTTCCAGCAGAAGAGCGCTGTTACCTTTTATTAGGTACAGAGAGTTTAACTTTGCCAAGAACCATGGGGGTGTCTGTTTCATTCCATCTTACTTTTTTATACTTTATTCCCGCAGACCATGCCAAATGAGGCTGCCTTGGCAATGTCCAGCATTGACTCAACAAATGTTCATTGAGTGCCTACCATGACCCACGCTGTGCTGGGAGCACGGGAAAGGTATGGTTCTTGTCCTCTTGCTCACATCCAATAGAAAGCCAGTTGCACATATGACCAAGTGGTATATTAGTCTGTTGGGAGTGGCTGATCACCAGAGAATCTATTCCTCTTTCTGGTCTTTCTTGCCTTTAGGTTCACTTTTGCATTCCTTCCTAAAAGGTAACAAAGAATTAAGGAAAAGTCCCCTCTCCCACACCCCCAGATACTAGCTGGTCATTTCTGCAAGAAGAAAGCCCTAAGGTGAGAATCAAAATGGAACATCTTTATAGTTGAAGTTCCGAGAAACACACTACTCTGTGCCACAAACCAGATCTCGGACTGTAGGGAGGTGGAACCAGACAGTCCCTGTCTCTGCCACTGTAGGAAGGGGTAGCATGAAACCATTGGGACCTGTGAGACACACTTGCCCCTCTGCTTGCTGGGGATGCTGGGAAAATTGACCCATTCTCCTCAAGGACACCGTAGCTGTGGAGCCTACGTGGGACCTCCTGGCTCAGCCAACATTCACAGTGGCAAATGCCAGCTGTAGGGCATCTGCAAGCAGCTGGGACAGAGACAGGCCACATCATCACAGTGGTTCGATTCATGGGTTCTGGGGTCAGAGAGGCCTGGGTTGGAATCTCATCTCTGCCACTTATCAGAGTCTGATTCTGGGGAGTTACTACTGAGTTTTCCCACCTGTGGACTAAGGTTGTTAATAGTACCTGCCTCATAGGTTGCTGGGAGGAATCAGTGAATTCATATAAAGGGCGCAGCAAAGTTTCTGACACACTCTAAGTGCTCAACTAGTTACAGTCACAACCTGCACTGCCCCTAGGGCCTGCGGTTAGTGTCAGGGGTTTAACAAATGATCCGGATACGTTTCCTGCCCTCAGGCACCTGGCAGTTGGGCAGATATGGGATCCACCGGAAGCCTTTGCTAGGTATCCAGGTGGAGCTTATTTTTCTAGAAAGGAGGAACATATCCCTTGGGGAATTTACAATCATTTTAGCTAAAGGAAGCCACTTTTTTTCTTTTAAAACCTAACCATATCCACTTTGGAAGTATGCTTGCTTAGAGCTCCCTGTGAAACTGGGAGAGAGCTTTGGATTGTCGCTGGGTCCACTGCTCATTGCAGGACTGAGACTTGTCCTGTTCTGTCCTTATAAAAAGCCAAAGGACAGCCTTAGAGGTGAAGGGTCCCGACTTGCCGTGCCCTTATGCTGAACTGTGGTTTTCTGAAGTTCTGTGAAAGAGACTACGGTTGAGTGCCTATTTGGAAAGTATTATCTTGAGCATTAAGACAGCGTACAAGCCATGAAGTATGTTTCAGGAAAAGAAACTCCTATACCCGAGCCCAGAATGTAGACTTTTGCGCCTGGTTTATGAGGTGGGGCGTGTGGTGAACCAAGGCTGCTGTTGAAGTTCGTTTATGAATTTTGAGTGTGTAGGTGAAACTGTGCGAGGCAGGGGCCACCCCAGCTGACTTTGACATTTCTCTTGCGCTGTGGAGTTAGCTCCACGGGTGGAAGCGTGAGCAGAATTGCAAGAGTTGAACAGGACCTGCCCTCCATGCATAAGCTATGCAGAGTTCTCACAAGAACTTTCCTGAAGCTGTCCCGCAGCCATCTCTGACAAGTTAGCATCCACGAAGCAGAAGGACACCTCGGTATTTTTAGATAGAAAAAGTGCTGCCTCCTTGTCATTTTGCAGAAAATGCTTTTCTCTCCCCTTTCCTTCATTGGACCTTCTGGTATCACAGGAGGGAAAGGCGCTACCTGGTAAGTAAAGATAAGCTGTGCTTATTAGCAGAGATTTGCAAGGGAAGAGTCTGTTTACAAATGGATAAGGAGGTCATTGTGTCCCTCTGGCTCCAAAGCAGGGACCTTGTTGTCTTCAGCCGGGAGAGGGCAACCAGCGAGGGGCTGAGCAAGTTTGCTGGCTGCCACGTGACCTGGAGTTCGCAGGTCAGAAGCTGCAGTTAGTTGGGGGAACCATCAGGCCTTTGAGGCCAGTGAGCTGTGGTGAGAGCAGAGCCCTCCCGCAAGGACTGGGGCTCTGCAGGGAGGTAAAGCGCCATCCTTTGCAGCCTCCCCTTTGGAGTAAAGCAGGCGTCAGTGCCGTGCTGCCTGGCATTGGCTCCTGTCTCAGGAGCTGCCTTTGGGCACATCCCTACCGTCCCACCCTGCGCTGCAAGGCCCTTGCGCAAGGTCTCTGGGAAGGAGCAGGTGAACAGTTGGCTGTGGAAATGATGGATGGGGGGAGAGGCCCCATCTACCTGGTGCCTAACATCTGGTAGAGCTGGCTCTCCAGATGTTTCCACATCGCACAGATGTTTGCCAACAGGAAGACAAAGCAACCTCTTGGCTGCGTGTTGCCATTTCCATCTGATTGCGTTGGAGAAGCCTGCCTGTTTCTGTACCCTGTTTGCATTCAGTTTGTAAAGCAGTGATCTGGACTGGACACCCATGCTTCTCTATCTACTTTGCACATCCTGCTGTCCCTGCCATTCCCATCATGAGCCGTGTAAAGCCAGCAGGGAGCAAGGGGGACTGTGACTGACACTGCAGGATTCCCAAAAAAATAAAAGCCAGGGACAAAGCATCAGGAAAATGGCCTGGTCCTGGAGGCTGGCCTCTTTCCCAGACCCTCACCACTGTGAGTAGTCCGGGGGGAGGGAAGGTGTGCTTGGAAAGGAATTATGCTGGGACATGTGCACACTTTGCAGGCAAGCTCATGAGGGAGAAGAGATGCAAGCGAGACTTCAGGCAGTGTCCTGAGGCAGAACGTGGAGACTGCTTCCAGGTCATTAGCTGAAAATTACTAGTCACTGCCCCCCTCCCCTTCTATTGCCCTGTGAGATTTTGCTGAAGGCATTTCAAATATCGTCTGCAATATCGTCTGGCTGTTTGATTATTTCTGAGGGATAAAGATCAGCTGTGAACTGAGTGTTAAGGCAATGTCAGGGATTTTTGTTGATTTGTTTGTTTTAAATTTCAAAAGGGAAGATGAGAGAGAAAGAGGGTGAGCTCCCATTTATTGTTTCATTCCCTAAATGCTTGCAATGGCCAGGACGAGGACGGGGCTGAAGCTAGGAGTGGGAACTCAATCCAGGTCTCACATGTGGGTGGTCCTCAGGAGCTGGGACTGGAACCCACAGCCAGGCACTGTGATACGGGATGAGGTGTCTTCAGCAGCATTGTCACTGCTAGACCCCTGATCCTCAACTGTGATTTTTAATTGCTTGGAAATGTGGAGATTCAGCCTTTAAACATCCCTTGCTGGCACTTTCTCTTCAGGCCTCCTTTGCAGAAATATGATACTTCACAAATCTCATGTAAAATGGAATTAAAAGGCAAGTTTATTTTGGTGCCAAACACTTTTTTTTTTTTAATCCATGCATAGATTTTTTTTTCCACATTACAAATGTTCCATGAACTTTTGGAAAGATAGCCTTTTCAGGAGTGCTTTGACTTTGAATGACTGATGTCTAGTCTCAGGGCTCCTCATTTTCTTTTTTTTCTTTAAAGATTTATTTATTTATTTGAAAGGCAGAGTTAGAGAGAAGGAAACACAGAGAAAGAGAGATGTTCCATCCACTGGTTCACTCATCAAGTGGCCAAAACTGCTGGAGCTGGCCAATCTGAAGCCAGGAGCTTCATCCGGATCTCCCATATGGGTACAGGGGCCCAAGCACTTAGGCCATCTTCCACTGATTACCCAGGCCATTAGCAGGAAGTTGTGCCCATATGTGGGATGCTGGCATTGTGGGTGGTGGCTTAACCCTCTATGCCACAATGGCATCCCCAGGGCTCTTCATTTTCTTGGGCTGCTTTTAAGACCTTGAGAAATGGTCTTCCCATGTGGTCACATGGTCCCACACTTTTGTTTAAATTTGTGAAAATAAAATCTTTCACATAGTTTTTTCTTAAAAAGTCCACTCCAATTATATAAACTTTAGGTCCCTGAGCAAAATTTCATAGCATGGTGAGTAGTTTCTTATGAGCTGCCAGTCTTTATCTTAATAAAGGAATATAATTTAGGCTAATAGAATAATTTAGGAGAGGGAATTTAGTTTTTGGCAATTGCCATTTTTCTCTTTTCTCTCTCTCCCTCTCTTTTTTTTTTTTTTGCCATTTCTGATACTTTAATTTGTCTTGAGGAAAATAGTTACAGGTGCTATCGTTGTTTCTGGAGAGTTTCACGATGCTAAGGAGCAGAGAAGAAAAAAATTCCTTCTTACTGCACCGCAGGGAAGGGCTGCCCCTTGTTGTCTGGGGGAGCCTCAGTAGTTGACCAAAGAACTGTTAACCATATCCTCTGGGCCTTTTCTTGAGAACTGAAAGAAATGAGGAGAAGGTTAGACATGGTATCAGGGCCTCCAGATCTCCTCTGCTCCTTTGGTCTGTCACACTGTGGGGTGGCGGAGCTGGGGCCTAGACATTCGCTGTGGTTGGCTTTGCTGAATCAGGTGGGTCCAGAGATGTGAGGAGCGAGGATGACACTGGGCACTCCGAGGGACAGGAGGGGGCCCCTGAGATCCCTGAGGCGTGGTGCTGTATGAGCCCCAGCTCTGGTGCTCGCAGCTACACTGTCAGAGGGAGCATGCTGGCTCACAGACAGGACACGTGAACTTCTCGTGGCCCAGGATTCAGTGTGGTCTCAACCCCAGGTGTGTTACCCTGTCCCTCTGACTCTGCCTTTTCTCTCGGCTTCTCACTTTTGTTTTTAATTAATTCAGTAACCCATGTAAGAAAAAGGGGGCAGATTAGTGCCTCCTCACACAGGGCACCAAATGTAAAAAAAATGCACAGAACAGAGAGGAGACGGGATATGAACTTGCAGCCAGACTGAATTTATTCAAAGAAAACAAATCTGCAGAGGAGGGTGACCAACTGCCGGTGTGCACACAGACTGAACACGTGGCAGAGGGTCCAGACCCCAGCGGGCTGGGCCTTTTTAAGTCTTAGGTGAGCTAGGGATGGGGATGGGGTGGCAGCAGGCGGAGGTGAGCCTCTCC